GGGACTCCAGGATCATGACCTGAGCCGAAGGCAGTCGCTTAACCAACTGAGCCACCCAGGCGCCCGCCCTGCAACTTTTTAAAGAGTACAAACGAGTACGAAATTTCTTTAGCAGTTTTGCGTGTCCTTTGCTTGGAAGCTTCTGAAGTAGTTTTGTCTGCATTGGTTGAGAGATTTCTCCTGGGCCACGCTGGTGAAGAGACAGATTAGCATTGCTGTTGTCTGTTGGGAATTTCGTGGCAAAGTGACAGGTGTTGCAGCGGAGGTCTGTCACTTGTGTTTTACATTAAGGGTTAGAGGGATACGGAATAAAATTACAGTTCTTGTGGCGGAAGAATTACAGTCGAGTGGGCACATCACACAGCCACTTAAAATCAGCTTTTGCTGCTTCACCTGAAAACACTTTTATTTTTTTAAGATTTTATTTATTTATTTGACAGAGAGAGAGCGAGAGCAGGAACACAAGCAGGGGGAGTCGGGGGAGGGGGGGAAGCAGGCTTCCCGCAGAGCAGGGAGCCCGATGTGGGGCTCGATCCCAGCACCCTGGGATCATGACCTGCGCCGAAGGCAGACGCTTGACGACTGAGCCACCCAGGCGCCCCTGAAAACACTTTTAAATGGCTTGGAGATTGGGCATGAGCTGCTTAAGATTATGTGTTAAACCCGTGTGTGCAGATGTTAACCTGAGTGGTATTTCCCACCCCAGATATGGCAGGGAGCAAACCAGGTCACACACAGTTGTTTCTAACATTGATACTTTTGCAAGTTTCAGCAGAACCAGGCTCCCTGCAGGTTTTTCCCCCCCCCATGCCGTTTCTTAGGGTTCTGGGTGTTGTTATCTTGCAAACATAAGGCAAGAGGCATGTTCCTGTGATTCATTCACCCTAAATAGCAGTAGGTCCCAAAATCATCCAGAAAGCTTTCTTTAGGGTAGTGTGTCGATTTTAATGATTCCTTCTTGCTTCTGTAAAGCTCTTTCCTGAATGTCAGTGCGTCCTTTAGGATCTTTGTCATTTTTAGCAGTGTTTAGGCTCCCCTTTCTCTAAATGTGTTTGATTCTGTACTTAGGAAAGTTGGAGTTTATGGTTTCTTTGAGTGGAGTGTCTCATAGTCTGACAGGGACATCACACTCACAGTTGCCGTGAGGGCGATTGAAGGCAAATGGTAGACTCCCAGGTTCTTTCTGGCACTCCTTTTGGTTTACACACTCGTAGCTTGAGGCCGCAGCTCTGAGGATAAGGAGTGGGCTTTAAGTGTCTTGGTCCCACAGTCAGGAATTTATATTGGAAATAGGTGTGCTTAAGTATTTCCGAGAGATACAAGGCAGTCTACTTGAAGAACTAGGTTTATGAGTAATGCATCTTTAAGAACAGCAGCTGGTGTCTCTGAAATAGTGCTTTTTTTAAAAAGTTAGATGACTTGAGGGTGCAGGATGACTTCCTGGCTGGAATTAAGTTCCCTGGGGTCAGGAGAGAAGTGATAGGCAGTTTTTCTGTTTGTGAATAAAGAAAAAAGATTAAAAGGATAATGTTCAAGATTGTTTCAAATGAAATTGGCATATTGGTAAAAAGCTCTCAATTATGGGTAGGGGGGAGAGTAGGGGATTCTACGTTATAGGAAAGTGATAGTGTTTGCTTATAAAATGGTTCTTAGTCTGGGAGTTGAGAAAATAGTTTTTAAAGAAAGTTTCTTCAAGGAAAGCATGTAAGTATAAACCTGTGAAATTTACATTTTGATAACATTTCCCTATTAAATAGCAATAGGGATTAAGGCATCCCAGAATCTCTGTGAGTAGAACTTTGTAAGATGAAACCCAGAAGAAACCATAGAAATTGTCATATTGCTTCTCTTACTTTATAGATGAAGTGACAGGGTCACAAAAAGACAAGGGGTGTGCCCGGGGCCATTCAGCTGGACATCCAGCCGTGCTCTCCCAGTTACACCCCTGCTGTGTAATCCTCTGGGCCTCTGCCATGTGTGGTTTTTCTTTTTTAAAGCTGCTTAGAATGGTGAGGGTCCTCTGCTGAAGCCTTACAAGGAGGAAGTCGTGTCTTGGGGGGTGTCCTGAGTGCCTCTGTTGCGCAGATAACAAGTCCATAGAAAGCTGAGCTGTAAACGTGCTTTGTTTTGAAATGGCTCCTTATAACCCAGTGAGGTCTCCAATGCTGTTCCTAATGTAGTCCATTAAATTTGAGTGAGTTTCGGAGTGCTCTTCAGTCAGAAGGGGTTCCCTGTTGGCCTAGGACAGAGCATGTGTGGGCAGTAATGGTAGTGAAGTAATAGATTCCTAGGACTAGTTTCCAGAGAGACATAGGAGCTTTCCTTTGTAATAGTTTTACTTAAAACACATTCATAAGTGCGTTCTTGTATCTGGCTATCAGAAAGATTTCCAAGAGCAAAAATTTTGTACATCTGCAGAAACGTGTGGGTTACACTCTGGAGTCCTTCCACGATTTCTCCCTCTGGTGTTTACTTACCCCCGTGATTGGCTAAACTTACCCTGTTTGTGAGGGTGGTACTAGGGGGAAGGACTTAACACATAGAAAAAGAATTTGTAAAGAGACGGTACCTGGGTTTTTGTCTTAGCAGTACAGGTTAACTGTTCAAGATTATACTTAATGTATTTTATTTAGAAAAAAACCCACCACTAGCACAAGCAAGAAAAAACACTGTAAAGATGATTTTGCTTCTTTGTTTTTTATAAAAGTTTTTTTTGGCACTCTATTATTGAAAACTTTTGAATGAAGTCAGTTGGTCAGTTTTATTTATTTATTATTTTCTTAAAGATTTTATTTATTTATTTGACAGAGAGACAGTGAGAGAGGGAACACAAGCAGGGGGGAGTGGGAGAGGGAGAAAGAGGCTCCCTGCCGATCAAGGAGCCCTATGTGGGGCTCGATCCCAGGACCCTGGGATCATGACCCGAGCCGAAGGCAGATGCTCAACGACTGAGCCACCCAGGCACCCCGAGTTGGTCAGTTTTAAAACTGCTTTAAGTTTACTTGGGGTTTTCATTCTAGGGATAGTTGTTACAGCTCTGGCAGTCAGAGGCAACTTGTTTTGCTAATGCTATTCAGGCAGTCATCACACAGAAAATGAGGGCTTTTGCACGGGAGCATAAAAGGCATTTTAGTATATTTTAGATTTTTCAGCTTGTATTACTCTGTACTTTATAACGCCCTTTCATTAGAATGGAAATACAAATTCTAAACTTTTGTTTTCATTTCAAGATTTAATATTAACCTTTGTGAGAAGTATGATATATGCAGTCTTAATAGAGAAGTTGGCTCTTTCGGGATCTGGAGATAATTTATGGGGCGATGTCAGCGTACCTGGTAGTAAGTCAGAGCAGCAGTTCAGCTGTGCTTCATCTCTGCCCTCTGCTCTGGGTGGGGGCGTCACGGAGGCAGCAGGCATTCCACACGGGTATTCAGCTGGGCTACAAAACTGAACCGCAGAGAAGGCAGTGACTTGTGTCAAGTCAGTCAGTGAGCTCCAGGCACAGCCCGCGTTTGCATCCCGATCCGGTGTTCTCCCTGTTCTTGCCTGTGCACGCAGCAGCCCCTCTGGGGCGCAGTTCTGGGCGGGAGGGGGGTGAGAGCAGGAGCTGAGGGACTGAAGACGCAAACTCTTAAGTTGTTTCCAGCCTTTCTCTGTTTTTTTAGTTTTCCTGATTCTGGCTGGGAGTTTGAATATATGGATTTTATGCTAATTTCTTCTTTTTCTTTTTCAGTTCAAATTAAGGAAAACCTATATCCTGCTTCTTTCTATAAGCAGCATCTAATTGTGCAAAAGATCAGTCATGCAGCCACCTCCCCAGGCAGCCCCATCCGGTGTGGTTGGGCCACCTCCAGCTGGGACTCCTCAGAGCATGTTCTGGTCCAACAGACCATATAGGAGACAGGCAAATAATAACGCACCCGTGACTCCGATAACTTGCCCCCTGCAGCCGGTGACGGATCCATTTGCTTTTAGTAGACAGGCGCTACAAAATACATCATTGGGCAGTTCGTCCAAAAGTAGCCCACCCATTCTGCAAGGCCCGGCCCCACCAGCGTTCCTTCAGCGCACCGGTCTGCCTGTGCCTCACACCAATGCTGGGGATACCCTCCAAGGACCAGTGTCACAGCCCAGAGCAGATGGCAGTCTGTTTTCCAGTGTGCTGACCCCTTCAACTCCATCGGAGCCCGAGGTGAACAGGAGTGCCGAGGTTGCTTCCGGCTCAGAACCCGAAGTTCAGACTCTGCCATACCCTCAGTATATTCCAGGAGCGGGTGTTGACAGTTCTCATGGGGGCCATCCTCACACGAACATGCCTGGGCCCGATAGGCCCCTGAGTAGGCAGAACCCGCATGACAGTGCTGCAGCATTAGCACCATCCCCTTTCTTCCCTCAGCCTCATCAGCAAATGCCAGGGCAGTGGGGACCAGGGCAGGGAGGCCCACAACCCTCAGGTCAACATTATTGGCCCCGCCCAGAAGGACCTGTTCAGAACGCGGTGCCTCACGCCTCCAGTGTTTCTCACTTCCCTGCTCCGTCCAACCCACATCATGGTCCTGGCCACGAGCAGCTCAACCCACTGGTGTGTTTGCCAGGACCCTTAGCCAGTGATGGAAGCAACGAGGCGGCCTACCTACAAAGTGGAAACCATTCATCAGATAACTTTGATCCTGAAAATGCGTTCAGGCAAAATTCTAGAGCTGGGAATACTCGGGCGAGCCAGGAGCTCAGGCCAAATCCAGGAGTGAATAAAGAGCAGTTGCCAGACCTCGCTCTCGTTAATCCCCTCGCTCAGGGAAATAGCCCAGAAAGCCATTTGCACTACCCCCCAGGGGCCGGGACCAGCCGAGCCCTGTCAGAAGTGGACTCCGGGGCTCTCTCCATGTTTTTCCAAGGTGGGGAAACAGAAAATGAGGAGAATCTCTCCTCTGAAAAAACAGGCTCTGCTGGTCAGTCTGACTTCGACGGCTTCTCCCCCAGCCCCGCGCTTGGTCATCCTCCTGCACATGTGGGAGCAGGTGGCGTTTACCAGGCCTTTCCCAAAGGTTCCAACAATGAGGCCACGCAGCAGGGAGGACTCCCACAACCTTATTTTTCTCAGTCTGCAGGCGCCCAGCCTGATCGGCCCCCGGCAGCAAGCGCCGCCACCGCCGTGTGGGGCAGCGCAGCAAGCGCAGGGGCGCACACGGCCAGCAGCGTGCAGTCTGAGAATGTGGAAGACCTAGAATTCATTCAAAATCAGGAAGTTCTGCCAAGTGAGCCCCTGAGTTTGGACCCTTCCTCCCCAAGCGATCAGGTCAGATACGGGCCCCTTCCCGGGCCAGCCGTCCCTAAGCTTGGTGGTGTGGGCCACGCTGGAGGTGGGGGCCCAAACCTCGAGGCCCCGGATTCAGCACTGCACCCTGTGTGGTCTGATGGCGCGTCAGCCGGTTACAGCAGCAAGAACCACAGGAATCTCCCGAGTGCAGCCAGGCCCCAAGATGTAGGCACTTTCATTCAGCAGGAAGTTGGAAAGCCTGAAGATGAGTCTTCGGGGAGTTTTTTTAAGCAAATTGATTCTTCTCCTGTGGGAGGAGAGACAAACGAGACCACCGTGAGTCAAAATCACCACAGCAGCCGGTCCCAGCCCTCAACCCCAAGCCCCCCAAAACCCACTGGAATATTTCAGACAAGTGCAAATAGTTCTTTTGAACCAGTGAAATCGCACTTAGTTGGAGTAAAACCCGTCGAGGCTGATCGTGCCAATGTGGTAGGTGAGGTGAGAGGGGCCACTGCCCACCAGAAGCAGCGTGGGGCCGCTGCTGCCCGACCCGACGCCTCCCCCGGCAACCTGGAGCAGCCGCCGGACAACATGGAGACCCTGTTCACGCTCCAGGCCTGTTCTGCACCCTTCTCCGTCCCTGTGGAGCCTGGCCACGGGCTCTTGCACAGCGGGGGACCGCCCTTGGAAACTGTGCTCCTGGCAGCGGAGAAAAGGCCTTTGGCCAGAGCCCAGGGAGCTTTGAAGTGTGAGAGCCCAGTGACGACGTTGTGGGCACAGAACGAGCTGCCAGATTTTGGAGGCAATGTCCTTCTAGCCCCGGCTGCTCCTGTGTTGCACGTGCCTGTGAAACCCCAGCCGTCGGAAGTGATTCAGCCTCCAGATGAGGGCGTGTCCGCTCCGCAGTCCCAGGAGCCGGGCTCCGGCCTCCCTCTGCCGAGTGGGGACAGCATCTGTGCTTCTGAGAACCTTGAGAATCCTCCCAAGATGGGAGAAGAGGAGGCCCTCCCGTCACAGGCAAGTTCCGGCTATGCCAGTCTGTTGTCCTCACCGCCCACTGAATCTTTGCAGAATCAACCAGTCTTGATTGCCCAGCCTGATCAAAGCTATAATTTGGCTCAGCCCATTAATTTTTCTGTGTCCTTATCGAGTCCTAACGAGAAGAATCAGCCCTGGAGAGATGCTGTGGTCGGGGATAAGCCCTCGGCAAGCAGCCGGGCTGTGGGGGGGGACTCTGGAGATGGTGCTGCTGTGTCTGGGATCACGGCCGGCGCTCTCACCCACTCGCCTCTGCCTAGCAGTCTCACGCACAGTAGTTTTCCACAAGTTCCTGGTACTTCGGAAATAGTTTCTAATCAGCCTGCTAATTTGCTGGTTCAGCCGCCACCTCATCCAGTTCCAAAGAACTTGCTTTCAGAAAGCCAAAAGATTGATAATGCAGAGAACGTTCTTCCCGAGTTGGTTAGTAGCCCTGCTGGAAGCACAGGCGTGATGTTAGTGCCCCCTGCAAACGCTACCTCAGTACCTACTGGTAGTAAGGCAGATCACTCCAGTCATCGGGAAGAAACTCCTGGAGCCCCAGACTTCACACTAAATAGGACTTTGGAAAATCCTCTAAGGATGTATAGCCCATCCCATGCTGACAGCTCTGCGTGTCGGCACACCGTCAGCAGTCATCCGAGACAACCTGGGCCCGGGCCACATAACTCAGACCATTTCTACCAACAGGTGACAAAAGACGCTCAGGACCAGCGTGGCCTAGAGAGAGCCCAGCAGGAGCCAGCACCACCTCTTCCACAAGGGCCCAAAGCAACGTGTTCAGAAACTTCAAACCCGGGAAGTCCACCCTTGCAGGGACAGCCCCAAAACTTGGTCCCACCACCCGCAAGCCCAGCTCCAGCTGACACAGGTCAGCCGCTGCCGGCCCGGCCACCTCGGTCCTCCAGCGCATCGGTCGTGTCCACCAGCTCGAGCCAGGCAGCCATGCGGTCGGACCAGCACTGGCTGCAGCCGCCTCTTCCGGACTTGGCATCTTACTACTATTACAGACCCCTGTACGATGGCTACCAGTCCCATTACCCCTCGCCATACCCGCTGGAGCCTGGCCCGGCCCCCCTCTATTACCAGGTACGCTCAAGCTCTTGGGCTTGAATCCTGTGACCAGTGGTTCCTTTCTCTCGAGCTGTGCTCCTTGGCAGGCTTTTGTTGCTCAGCGCAGAAGTAAGTAGTGCCGTCACCGTGCAGAGTGCCGGTTCCAGGCGCCGCTGCGTGAGGCAGGCCCCCCGCTCACGGAGCTTGCTCTGCCCGGTGCGGCCCGTCTCTTGGAAGTTTACTCTGCATGCCTGTGTATTGCATTGCGTGCAATACCTGATTAATTTTTTCACATGGCATCCCCCAACTTACATGGCTGAGAAGCCACCTGTTCCCTGTCCCACTGGTGGCTTCTCTGTAGAACTTGAGTTGTGGGTTGCACACTTTGGGAAACTGGGATAGCCTCTGCAAACTTCGGTGTGGTTTTGATGTGAAAAATCTATCTGACGAGTAACAGGAAGTATAGTATTTGAAGTCCCTTCTCAAGAATAAAAGCATTTAGAGAAAATGTTAGGTTTGGAATATAATCCTAGCAAAACAGCCAAGGGGGATGAAATTCCATAACCTCCTTGAGGGGCAGCAGCGGGGTGGGGGCGGCCACTGTGCTACGCGGAAGCCTTGCCCTTCACCGTGGCCCAAGTGCACGAATGTTGTTTAAATTGGGTTCTGTTCAGTCCTGTTACTTTGAAACCATATGGTTCAAGCGTACACATTGGAACGCTGTCTGCTTCTCATGACTTGTAGTCCCAGCCCAGCATCACCCAAAGGTAGCTGAGTTCACAGGAGTGTGGACCTCAAGTTTGAAAAGCACGGTTCTACTGGGCAGGGGGGTTGGCCATCCTGGGGCCCTTGCAGTCAGAGGCGGCTGGGTGTGCAGGGCTGGTGGGGTTGGGCCAGGCGGCAGCCCCCGTTGACAGGAGGCTTGGGTCTCCTTTGCAGGCTTTTAGCATCTTTGGGAATGTATGAATGTATGAATAGTGCACAACTGAGCACTGAGACCAGCAAATTCTAGATTCTGGAAGGAGCCCCAAGGACTCCCGTTGCCACACACCGAAACTGATTTTCGATGTGCCCAGAGCCCACGGGGGCTGGCAGAGCGTGAGGGGAGCAGTGTACCTGCTTTGGGTCCTTTGTGTAGCAACTCCGTATGCCTCCCAGGAGTTCCAGCTGGAGCCCAGCACACTTTCGTGGGAGCCCGCCCCCTGCTGCCCTTTGGCCTTGTCGCCACAGCCTGCAGCAGTGGTCAAGAATAAGTCTGTTTGACGTGATTTCTCCTCTTCAGGTGATGGCAGAGAGTCAGGCTCATAGACCAAAGGGCTGATTCTGTCTCATGCCTGGATCGCCTCATCTCTGCTTCGGGTCTGCACATGGCCACTCCTTAGAGACAGAGCCGTGGCCATTCATCAGTCCGTTAATGGAGCCGAAAGCCTCATGAGAGTAAAATGTGATCCTCTCTTTGAGGCTTCCCCTAGCTCCAGGACCCACTGAGATGAAACCCTGGTTATTTTGCTTACCTGAGATGGTGTCTGAAACAGAACACAAACTTGTGGGGTCATCGCATCTCCACATTTGAGACTTCAGGGACTAGAAGCCTGGCGGAGCCCTCGAGAGTCTCCATGGTTCCGTAGGGTTTGCCCGCTGACACATTGGCCATCTCCTGAGCAGGAGCAGGGCAGTCCCTTTGAGGAAGATCCTGCCACCTGCCTGTGGCTGTGGATTTCAGATTGTAGGTTTTCTGTTGTGCATGAGGGAAGCCCCACGTCCAGCGCTCCTCCTAGAGGGCCATCATCAGTGCCGTTTAGAGCTAGTGCCGGCTGCTCGACATGCTGTGTCTCTGCTGGTCTCTAACGTCGCACAAACCCTTCTTCCGGCAGGACGTCTATGGCCTGTATGAGCCCAGGTACAGGTCCCACGACAGTGCAGCGTCTGCCTATGCTGAGAGCTACCGCTACGCCGAGCCTGAGCGACCCAGCTCCCGAGCAAGTCACTGCTCAGACCGGCCACCTGCCAGGTGATGGACGTCCGTGTTGCCGGCTGTGGTAGTAACTTAGTGATCTGAGGAAGACCGTACTCGTAAAGAGCTATACCAGCCTATCCTGTGTTTGTGTTTACTCAGCACAGGCAGAGCACAGGAGCACTTTGAAATGGAACAGAGCCCCACCCCCACCCCACCCCCGAAGCCACCTTGTCCTGTCCGCCAGCGCTGGGTCAGGGCAGACTCTTGGCGGGGTCCTCTTGTGGCCAGCTGCTCCTCCTACGGCCGAGGCGCGCACGCGGCTCTGGCATTTGGCTGACTGGGTGTTCAGGGCCCTTAGACTGGGGCAGCTTTGCCCGTGCAGACGCTTCCCTACTACTAACCGCAGAGGTGCTTGATTATTGGGCCAGAACACCTGCCCACGTCCCCTTCGCAGCACTGCCCCTCTGGCGGAAGGCCCCCGCACACCTCCGGCCTGCTGCTCTCTCTCGCTGACCAAGCACGTCTCGTTCTGGGATTATAGATGAGGGATTCTTTTTTTAAGATTTATTTATTTATTTTAGAGCGAGAACACAGAGGGAGAGAGAATCTCGAGCAGACTCCCTGATAAGCACAAGAGTCGGACGCAGGGCTTGATCTCCTAACCCTGAGATCATGACCTGAGCTGAGATCAAGAGTCAGACATTTAACCAACTGAGCCACCCATGCCCCCCTGGGTGAGGGATTTTGGAAGATCACGGGCGTCACGCCTTCAGCCAACTAGGAACTGAGGCGGGTCCCAGCCCCCACTCGGAGCCGCAGGGTGTGCGGCCTGTTCCCGGGTGCGACCTTGCCTGCCTTCCAGAGCCTTGACCTATACTCGCTCATCGTCCGCTTGGAGGAAGGATGGGTCACGGGTGTAGGTTTTGTTACAAGAGTACATGGTTTCTTGAACTTGTAGTAGAGGAGGTCTGATTGCCGATGGAGACTTTGTGCGTGCATCGCCTTTCAAAATCTTGGGGTCCTGTTGCTGGTCCTTCAAGGCTTTGATAGCTTGTCTGGAGACAAGGCTCTGTCTCTGTGAGCCTTTGCCTGTTGAGCTGGCCTCTCTGTGCATTCCTGACCTGCACGTGGCCCATACTTCTAGGAGCTTTATGTAAGAAAGTTCCCGAGGGTTTAGCTCCTGTATGGCACCTAGAAGATGAGGTTTTCTGAAGTTAAGTGTTCTGACTCAGGGAAAGCAACAGGCAGGTGATTTCTAGAGCCCCGTAAGCACGGCGGAGGGTGCAGCCAGCGCACATCTTGCCATTCCAGTTTTCTGTCTGCTTGCCCACCTGCAAGTTAACACGGTACTTCATTCTAAGAGGCCAAGAATTCAAGGTGGCCCCGTGCTGTTGAAAAGTCATCCAACCAGAGGCTAGGCCAGGTTACACGGGAGTGGTTCTGTCCCGTCTTGCAGTGTTTCTGTTCTCGTGCTGTCTTCACCGCTCACTTGTGACACCTCTGGAGAACACCCTGTCCTTCCTGCCCTGCTTCGGTTGGGGGGCGGTGTGTGCTTCTGCCTGGTGTGAGCGCATCCCTGCAGGAACTGCCTGCAGTGGGAGCATGTCTTTCGTTTGTGTGGCTGTGTCTTTGCTGATGGATGAATGGGCCTGGTTGGTGAGGGCGGCGAGGAGGTGGCATGCTCTTGGTCCTGCCCTGTGTCAGATCATTGTTCTGAGCCCACTGCAGGTGTGCTCAGGGGCCCCCACTCTGCAGATAGGTGGGGTCTAAGGGTTCTCCTCCAAAGCCCTGGGAAGGGCCCTTGTTCCTATAGCTGAGCCATGGGGGTGGGTGCTCCTCACAGGCCGCCTCTGCCCCAGGAGCTGTGCCAGCCAAGCCCCCAGGCTCAGCTGGGTGACATTCCTGAAGGGACATGAGAAAAGTTATATTTTAAAAGTCAAATATTGTCGGACGCCTGGGTGGCTCAGTTGGTTAAAGCAACTGCCTTCGGCTCAGGTCATGATCCTGGAGTCCTGGGATCGAGTTCCGCATCGGGCTCCCTGCTCAGCGAGGAGCCTCCTTCTCCCTCTGACCCTCCCCCCTCTCATGTACTCTCTCTCATTCTCACTCTCTCAAATAAATAAATCTTAAAAAAAAAAAAAAAAAGTCAAATATTGTCTAGAACTTGTTATTACAAAAATGCTAGTAAGTTCTTCTAAGAATCTTACTGCCCCAGGGGCACCTGGGTGGCTTAGTTGGTTAAGCGTCCAACTCTTGATTTCAGCTCAGGTCTTAATCTCGGGGTCGCGAGATTGAGCCCCACACAGGGCTCTGGGCTGGGCATGGAATCTGCTTGACAGTCTCTCCCTCTGCCCCTACCCCGCTCCCCACATTCACTGTGTGCACATGCTCACTCTCTCACTTGCACTCACTCTATTGGAGGGAAAAAACAAGAATCTTAGTGCCTAGAAGTTCTGACAGCTGACCTTGCTAAGTTCTGCTTTCTGTGCGCTGAGAGTCAGACTTATAGCTTGGTCTTTGAGGCTGGTCTCCATCAGGCGCGCTTCAGGTCTCATACTGGTCACATTCAAGAGACTGACACCAGGGGCTGAGCCAGCCGCAGCCCTGCACCTGGGCGTACACCGTCACGCGTCCAAAGGACACAGCACGTGGTCTGTGTGGACAGCTCAGTGCGTTTTGCTCCTGCTAAGCGTGATACCAGAAACTTGAGAACCTATTTGAGCCTTGCCATGCAGGACACAGTGCTGAGCACACAGAGGGCGGCCAGCTCATTGATTCTGCATGGCACTTAAATAGGTATTTAAGAGATGGATTTTAAAGATTTTATTTATTTGTTTGTCAGAGAAAGAAGGGGCACAAGTTGGGGAGCTGCAGGCAGAGGGAGAAGCAGGCTCCCCGCTGAGCAGGGAACCCTGGGATCATGACCTGAACCGAAGGCAGACTCTTCACCGACTGAGCCACCCAGGCGCCCCAAGAGATGAATTTTAATTAGCTGTGTGGGAGGGGGTCCCATAATCTCCTTGTTACTGTTTCGGATCTACCGATGAGTGTTTTTTCATGACCAGAGCGTTTTGCTGAGTGTCTGATGCTCTGGCAATCACGTGTACAGATTTACGTCTTGTCCTAGTCTAAGAAGCGAGTAGGTGAGTTGTTTTTAACAGTGTGGTGTGTGCTTTCAGGCAAGGGTACCCCGAAAGTTACTACAATTCCAAAAGTGGATGGAGCAGTCAGAGTGACCACTATGCGGATTATTACTCCGGCCAGTACGACTACGGAGGTACGTTCAGGATTCTGCATGGCCGACCGCTAGTGCGTCCCGGTGCGCAGCTGCGCTCTGTGATCGTTTCTTAGGAGACTTCCCCGTTTGTTAGTTTTCGTATGTTTTTTTTTTTTTTTAAAGATTTTTATTTATTTATTTATTAGAGAACAAGCAAGAGAGAAACAGCATGAGAGGGGGGAGGGTCAGAGGGAGAAGCAGGCTCCCTGCCGAGTCGGGAGCCCGATGCAGGACTCGATCCCAGGACTCCGGGATCATGACCTGAGCCGAAGGCAGTCGCTCAACCGACTGAGCCACCGAGGCGCCCCAGTCCTCGTATGCTTTTAATCCAAGAGCCGAAGTAGTTGAAAATAATCTGTGCCTGGAAATAATTATATTGCTATTTTTCATTAGGAAATTACGATTTGGTTTAGTGTTAATGTCTCTTTATCACATTAGTAGTTTCCTTTGACTTTCTAGCAAAGCGTCGTGAGTAGTTCCAGAGCAGCCTTGTCCATATGTGACTACTTAAATTGCTTAAAATAAATAAAATGGAACACCAGCTCCTGGGTCGCACTGGCCACGTGTGGTGTGCCAGTGACCTCCTGTGGCCGGCCCCGACTTGCGCGGTGCAGACGTCAGATGTCCCCGCCGTGCCAGTGCTGCCTGCCGGTCTTGACGTGCTCCTGCTGGGCAGCGCGTGCCCGTCGGTGGCCCTGCCGCGCCTGCTGTCCGGTGCTGGGCAGGGTCCCAGGCCCGCAGCCTCGCAGGCATCCCGGCACAGCCGCCCCGTCTGCTGCTTCCCACAGGCCTCTTTCCTTTCTACGATTGTACTGCTGTAGACGTAAATTCTGCTCATACCTGCCAAAAGTGGGACTTCTAGTTTATAATATTAATGTATATATTTTTTAATATTTTAGTTTTGGAGTATTTCTTAAAACTTTCTGGGTCACGTTAGAAGACATACGAGGGAAATTTGTAGTCCCAGGATTAAGTGTTAAAAGGTCGTGACTACGAACAAAATTTTAACAAAGATGACCTTCTAGCGTGTTTTGGGGTTCTTTTTAATCACGTGTGTTGAGAGAACAGCCAGGGGCCGTTAGGTGTTACACGTAATAGGTGGGATACCACCCGGCCCCTCTGTCTCACAGTTAATACTCTCCCAGGGCATGCTGATTTGTGGGAGGAAGGTTTGGTTCGTCTAAGAGCCTGGAGGCATGCTTCAGTCCTGGGGTGGTGTGGTCTCTCCAAGGGCCAGAGGAGAGTCTTCCCTTGCCTGCTGTAATCAACCCCGAATCCCCCGCTTACAGACCCAGGTCGCTGGGACCGGTACCACTGTGCTTCCAGATTCAGGGATCCCCGCACCTGTGACCGGAGGTACTGGTATGATGCTGAATACGATGCGTACAGGAAAGAAAACTATGCTTATGGCGACAGGTTGGTACAGTGCACTTTGATAAGAAGGGTTGCTCATAGCCAGAGCTTTGCTCCTGCATCTCTGGCCTCGTGTCTGTCATTTACCCGAGCTGCACTTGTGTTTGGGATCCTGGTGAGCAGCTGACACTGGGGTCACTGTCTGAAAGAGAAGGATGAGCCAGGCCCTCCTGGCAGTTTCCGCTTGGGCTGTTGGAGGGGAACTGGCCTCGGCACAGGTGCTGGAAGTCGGCTCCTCTTCTTCTTGGGTCTGGGAGAGGCGTGGCCGCACGCAGCGTGAACTTGAAGGATGTTTCTCCAGATCTGAAGGCAGGGATTTGAACTTGGGCTTGGGATGTGGCCACTCTCCCAAGGGTAGGCTCTGACTGGTCTTCTGAGGGTCACGACCCTGGTGGGGTGGTGACGACATGGTGGGTCCTCACTGTGGGGTAGCAAAAGGCCGTCGTCCTGGAGTCACCCACCCACACTCCCCTTTCCTCGCCTCTGTCCCTGTTTCCACCAGGCCCGAGAGGTACGATGACCCCTGGAGGTACGACCCTCGCTTCACTGGCAGTTTTGACGACGACCCCGAGCCCCACAGGGACCCTTACGGGGAAGAGGTGGACAGGCGCAGCGTGCACAGCGAGCGCTCAGCCCAGAGCCTGCGCAGCAGCTTCAGCTCCCACTCGCATCAGGTGGGGGCCCTCTCCCCCTCCCTTCCTGCGTGACCGCACGCCCGAGCCCCCGCGTTGCCAGGAGTTGATTTTTCCCGTTTGCTCTATGTTTTCTCAGAGTCAGATTTACAGAAATCACAGTGTGACTGCTGTTCCCTATGAGGCCCCACACCCCCCCGGCTCCTTGCCTGGCCAGTATGCCTACGGCGCCTACGGAAGCAATTTCGGCAGTGTCCAGGGCTTCCCAGAGTACGGATACCCTGCTGACGCTGGCTGGCCTACCGCGGAGCAAGGTGTGTGTGTGTGGTGGGGGCCCTGTGCTCTCGTAGGTACAAAGGGATGTCGAGGCACACTGCTGGGGCAGCCTCCCAAGCCCCGGGTGACGGAGGGAGTGGATTTCAGCTCGCATGGGAATCGGCAGCGGCCTGGCCTGGTCTTCTCTGCAGAATACGGACTGCTGTGAGTCACAGAGCTTGTCACAGCGGCTACGAGCTGCCTGGCCTGTCCATAGTGGCCACGTCAGTGTGGCTCCAAGGACAGGCTCCCTGCCAGCTTCTTGGGTGTGGCGGCACTGTGTTCCCCAGTGCTGGCCACTTGGGTAAGCAGTTTGGGGGGGGGGCATTCCTAATTCCCCTTGAAAAGCTCCTGTGCGTGGACTTACCACAGTGCCACATTCTCAGCTCCTCTTGGAGGTGTCCCATCAAATGCTTTTCCTTGGAGAAGTGCAACAGTGTGTGTCACGTCCTGTGGAAATCTCTCTGCACTTCAGGCATCCTGCCATCGTCGTCCTTGTCGGTGCCCCATGCCCGTCACTGCCAGGAGCCGGCCTCTGCAGAGAGCTGGGGACACGGATGCTCTGGTGGGGCCTCTGAGCAGCTGGTGGCCAGACGCTGCTTCCAAGTAGCCTGTGCTCAGCGCACGGGGCTGTTTTAAAGAAGTTTTGTTTTCAGAAGAGAATAGTTCTCGTTTTTAACAATTGAAACATTCTTCTTTTTTTGTTTTTTAAAGATTTTATTTATTTGACAGAGACACAGCAAGAAAGGGAACACAAGCAGGGGGACTGGCAGAGGGAGAAGCAGGCTCCCCGTGGAGCAGGGAGCCCGATACGGGGCTCCATCCCAGGACCCTGGGATCATGACCCGAGCCAAAGGCAGACGCTTAATGACTGAGCCACCCAGGTGCCCCTGAAATATTCTTCTGACACATACCTAAGTTCCCCTTTTTGATGGGATATTTAATAATTATTATCTTCCAGTTGAAAGCCAGGTCATCGTGACCAGTCTAACGTAGGATTCCAGCCATATGGGCACCTTGAAAATCTGTACTGTTAATCTGGTCCAGAAGCATTTTTTTTTTTTTTGGATTTTTATTTATTTATTTTGAGAGAGAGAGAGACACACAGAGCATAAGCAGAGGGAGAGGGAGAAGCAGACTCCCCGCTGAGCCGGGAGCCCGACGTGGGACTCGATCCCAGGACCCTGAGATGACCTGAGCTGAAGGCAGAGACGCCCAGTCATCTGAGCCACCCAGGCGCTCCTGGTCCAGAAGCATTAAAAAGTGACAAGCTGATTGTTTCTTTCTCACTTTATTTAAATGTAGCTCCATCAAGACCAACTTCTCCTGAGAAGTTCTCAGTGCCTCACGTCTGTGCCAGGTTCGGTCCTGGGGGTCAGCTCATTAAGGTGATTCCAAATCTGCCTTCGGAAGGACAGCCTGCATTGGTTGAAATTCACAGCATGGAGGTAATTGCGTGAGTAGAAATTCTGCATCGCAGGACAGCCCTCTGAATAAGTGACCTTGGAAGATGTTTTTTTCCCATGCATCTTTAGTTCATAGGTTTTTTTGTTGTGCTGGGTCGTTTCTCCCCTCAGAGGTCAGGACTTTGAGTACCTGCGTCGGGTGTTACGTTAGACTTCGTTTCATTGCATATTCATTTTGTCTTTATTGGCGTTTCTGGTTTAGCAGGGAGGACCCTGCTCGTGTTCATCTCGTGGCTTTTGGTCACGGGTAGAGGAGCTTTGTGATCTGGTGGCAGGTGGGGTGGGGGGCCCTGTTCTGTGGGCCTGGCAGGCCTCTTCTGTGCATGTATTAGGGCCCTGCCTCAGTTGGAGGGGAGACGTAGAGTTTGAAAATCACGGTAGTAAAGCAGGCAGGCCGGCATGCTGTGAGGGCGTGGGGGTCCAGGGAGCCGGTGGACGCGGGCAGGCGTGGATGCGCACCTGCCCCCCATGAGCTGCTCTCTCTCTGCCCCCACCCGTTGCGCCTCAGACCCTGCTGCAGCACATGCCAGAGCAGAAGGAGCTGCGCTCGTTCCCAGGACCACTCGGCAAGTACGTGCCCGTCCAGCAGCCCACGTCCAGCAGCCCACGACGGCCGTGCGGAGGCGGCTGCTGCGCCTAGCCTCGCAGATGCAGTTGCTGCTGTCCATTGAGTGTGTGTTCTTTTTTCAGAGATGACACCCATAAAGTGGATGTTATTAATTTTGCACAGAACAAAGCTACAAAATGTTTGCAGAACGAAAATTTAATTGACAAAGAGTCTGCAAGTCTCCTTTGGAGTTTCATTGTTCTCTTGTGCAGACAGAACGGGGTAGGTTTCTTGTTGGCCTCCGTCCCTCCCCCCCCCAGTGGACTTGGGCGGGATTTCTGTGCCAAGCTATGGGCCGCGAGCAGCATCCCTATCCAGGCGCTCCCTCAGGAAGTGTCTTGGTGGTGGTTTCGGGGAGGGGAACTCAAGGGCGTGTGGTTGGGTCCGCCTCTGTCAGCCTGTCGGGTCGTCTGTGGTCTGTCCGTCCTGCTCCTGGCCAGGTCGTGAGCAGTGGCTTGTGCGTGTGGGAGTTTCACGTGCCCATTTGAGGAGTCCTGTTGGGGGCCTCACCCGTCCCGGCACCCCCGCAGTAAGTTCCGTGTGAGGTGACGCGCTTTCTTCTTCCTGCCCCCGCGGCCCCTGCAGACCGTGGTGGGAACAGACCTCGCGGAGCTTTTGTTACGAGACCACAAAACCGCGTGGCTTCCTGGGAAGTCACCCAACGAGGCCAACCTGATTGATTTCACTAACGAGGCCGTGGAGCAAGCGGAGGAAGAGGAGTCCGGGGAGGCCCAGCTCTCGTTCCTCACTGACAGCCAGGCAGCCGGCAGCAGTGCCCTTGAACGGGAGACCGAGAGGTTCCGGGAGCTGCTTCTGTATGGTCGCAAGAAGGTGAGGCCCTGCGCGGGCCCTGGCGTGCACGGTCCTGCCCTCGGGCGCGGCGGCACCCTGACCCGGCGCCGCGGGCTCATTCTGTGAAGGGCATCTGGCGTCCAGAGTGCCCGCTCCCGGTAGCAGAGCTCCCTTCCAGGGGTCGCCAGGGTCGGAGACTTGCCTGTGCTCAGCCGCGCCCCTGCTGCGTATACTTCTCAGGGACAGACCCGTGCGCGGGACAGAAAGCCAGCTGTCCTCGCGCAGTGAGGCGTGCGTTCACCATCTCTTCAGCGGGGTATGCGCTGGGTGGGCGCCAGGCCCTGCAGGCCACAGAGCGCGTGCGCTGGGGGAGCTCCCCGGGACTGTGCAGGCCCAGGGATGGCCGCGCCTGCGCTCTGGCGGCTGGGCTCTCACGGGCCCGGAGTTCTTAGTTCTTTGATGTCATGTTGTGCTCTGGAAGCTCGTATTTGGTAAACAAACAGTCTTCACGTGGACATCGTACGACGGATCGGAACTGTAGACTCTGTCAGGTTTGCTTAACGTTTCCTCCACCGCGACACGTCCATCTCCTTGAGGAGGCTGTCCTCTTGACTGCGACCCCAGATGATTCTGGACACAGGGGAGGCCGCGTTAGTAAAGGCTCTGTCCGTGTTGGGATGGTGTTCGTGGAGGCCTCATGTGTCGTTCTGGAACTGGGGATGCTTGCCGGTGGCGTTGCTCACAGTGGAAGGGACAGTCCGAGGCGGCAGGACTGCTGCTCGCTCGTCCTTGTTCCTCATCCGTGTGCTCCTTCCGTACGCTGGCTGCCTGCTAGCAGATACCAAAGCAACAAAGTCTTCGCAGACCCGCTGCCACAGGGACTTTGCAACTAGGGCAGATTGGGAGAAGCGGGCTTCTCCTTCTTGTCTGAACCGGGCACATGTGTTGGCAGGCCCGTGATTCACACCTTCCTTCATGTGCACTCTGGTCCCTCTCCCCTGTCCCCCCCCACCATGTGTAACGACACACGGGCTGTTGCTTCTGCTCACGTATGTCACCGAAGTTGTTCTGATAACTCAGGTAACCACTAAAATGCTTTGCAGGATGCTTTAGAGTCTGCGATGAAAAATGCCTTATGGGGTCATGCTCTGTTACTTGCAAGTAAGATGGACAGCCGGACACACGCCCGCGTCATGACCAGGTAGAGAATCTTGCTGTGTAGACTGTTTATGGGCACGTCGTGCTGGCCCAGTTGCGCTGCCTGGGCAGCTCTTGGAAGCGCAGTGGCCTGCAGCCCTTGTCACAGAAAGCTGGGGTGTGTTCTCTGCACCATGCTGCTGTCCCACTGGCTCGGGCTTGCTGGGCCCTCTTCCCTGCTGTTGGACCGCTGAGGGCTTTGGAAACGTTTTCTTAACTGCAGAGTTGTCTGTGCTCTGTGAAACCATCATGAATTCCTTAGTCTTTATTTCCTTTATTCTTTTGTTCAACTACTGGGCTTTGTGCACTTTGCCTGGGCCGGGCACCCACCCGACAGTCATCAAAGGGCCAAGATGAAACTGGGCTTGTTTCTGCTTGTCTTTTAAACAGGGCCGACTTAGCTCTTTCTCTCCTCGTATCTGCCTAGGTTCGCCAACAGTCTTCCAATCAACGACCCTCTGCAGACAGTGTACCAGCTGATGTCGGGGCGGATGCCTGCTGCGTCCACGGTCAGTGTGTGGGGGCTCCCCAGGGTCCCCGCGGCCCTGCTGCCTGTCCAGGCTCGCTCCTGTGACAGGTTGCCTCCCGAGGCCGCAAGGTCTGCGCTCTCTCTTGTTCCGGCTTCTGCGTTGTGCTCTGTGAGCTCACCCGTGACAAGATAAAAGCGACGCTCTCTTCAAGCATAAGGGTTTATTTGGTTTTGCTTTTTTCTGACCTCAGTGTTGCGGAGATGAGAAGTGGGGAGATTGGAGGCCACATCTTGCTATGGTTTTGTCCAACCTGAGCAGCAACGTGGATGTGGAGTCCAGGGCGATGGCCACCATGGGCGACACTCTGGGTAGGTCAGATGCAGGCGCGGGCATGGAGGTGGGGGCGCCCAGCACGCCTGGGCATGAGAGCCGCTGTTGGGGTGTGGAGGGCCACGGGGCTTTTCCATTTGTGTGGCCTCTCTGGTGTTTGCTGTCCACGTGTTGAGATTTCTGGTAGGACTCGCAGTCACTGAGTCTTGGTCTGCTTTATGTTTCCTCAGCTTCAAAAGGTCTCTTAGATGCTGCACACTTTTGCTACCTCATGGCCCAGGTCGGGTTGGGGGTTTATACAAAGAAAACCACAAAACTCGTCTTAATCGGATCGAACCACAGGTGAGGAACGTCCAGGTATCTGTTTTTCTTTAGAAAAGAAACATCCCTCCATCAGCTAACCCAGAAACGGCGCACACGCACCCGGTGGCAGCAGCCTCCCATCTTGATCGCAAGGTGTTGATCACATGGCGTGACATGGTTCTGGGTGCCTTGCTCAAGGATTAAAATTCTTTCCTCAACAGTTTACCGTTTTTAAAGTTTGCAACCAATGAAGCTATTCAGAGGACAGAAGCCTATGAATATGCCCAGTCTCTTGGGGCACAGACCTGCTCCTTCCCCAATTTCCAGGTAAGCTGGAGCCACGCTGGTCCGTGGTTTTTACAAGTGGGGTGGTCAGTGCTAGCAAGTCTTTGGTTGTTGAGGGCTTTTGAGCTCTTACGCAAAAAGTGGTAGTGTTTTTGGAAATCTTAGGGAAACATCTGTAATGCTTGAGAAGTAAGCCCTATTGAATTGAGAATTTCCTTTGCATTTAAAATGTTTCTTGAGTATGTGGTTTCCAGTACTCTTCTGTCCACGGTTTTTAGTGTCTTGGGGAGAGTGTTATCTGATCTGGGGGCGCGTGGGTGTAAACATTGTGTAGTGCAGTGTTAGTGGGGACGGCCGTCCTGCCCTGCTGGCTGGCCCGGGCGCTCGTGGTGACGAGCCCCTCGTGACCAGCCTCGTAAGCGTGTTGAAGAGGAAAAGTGAGTTTCTAAGAAGCTTGGTTGCAACTTTCATCTAAAAGCGCTCTGGGAATGGGGCTCAGTGCTGTGGGACGGCTGGGGGACACGTGAGGTGCACAAGGCGTCGGAGTAGCTCCAGCTTGGGGGCCTGTCGGGTGACGCGGGGGCTGGGGAGGCACGTCGGGATGACTGTGCTGCGCTCCCCTGTCCCAGGTGTTCAAGTTTATCTACTCCTGCCGCCTGGCTGAAATGGGGCTGGCCACACAGGCCTTCCACTACTGCGAGGTGATTGCCAAGAGCATCCTGCTGCAGCCCCACAAGTACTCGCCCGTGCTCATCAGCCAGCTGGTTCAGGTAACGTCTTCTCGAATGTCCTTCCAGCAGCATTTACCCCATGGGCGCATCAGTATCACTGGACTTGGGGACTGAGCTGTGACCATGTAGACACTCGGGGCTTCCTTCTTCAACAGCTTAGAAATTCAGGTGTTCTTGGGCAGGTATTGGGTGTTTTGCGTGTTAGCTTAGGAAGTTTTCAGAGACCTCACCCCACTACAGAAGCTGGGCCGTAAGCTTTGAAGGAAGAAGGACCCCATCTCCAGGAAACTCACTGTGGGGCGGTTGAATCTAGCGGTTAACAGCCTGAGCTTCTGGAGTCCAGCAGCCTGGGTTGGGGTCCAGGCTGTTCCAGTGCCAGCCTCGGTTTCTTGCTCTGTAAAACAGACACCGCGTGAGCAGCCTGCAGGAGTGAGTGAGGCGCAAACAGGACAGGGCAGGCCGGTGCCCAGGGCGCGAGGATGCCATTGTTCCCCTCCCCCGAGGAGCTTCATTCTGGGAAACACGCTCACGTGATAACCTGAGAAAGTGTTACTGTGGGAAGTTTCAGACGTCTAGGGAGATAGAATAATTAGCAAGTCCTCCTTCCCACAGCTTCAGGAGCTGTTTACTCAAGGCCACCTGGTTTCCTCGTACCCCCATCCTGCACTGTCCCCGCACCCCCCACCGCCCATCAGAGTGTGTGCGGTTCTGGATCCATTCAGCATTTTGATCAGTAAAGCCAAGCCTGTGTAGTCAATGCTGGGGGCAGCAGTCTGCTCTGGGGGGCCCGGCTGCTGGTGGCCTCTGTGCACACGGGCTGCTGGGCTCGCTAGAGCGAAGTCTGGGTCCCACGCGCCCTTTCCAGTGACTCGGCAGTACGTGCGAGGTTTCAGGGCAGGTCACCACATGCTTCAGAAACCGTATGTGATGGGAAGTATCCCACCGGACCCTGAAGATGCTTTTTGTTCCAGATGATGGTAGGTTTTGAAAACACTGTCTTCCTTGTCATGCCAGATAGTAACAGGGCCCTTTCCTCCCTGTGTGTGTCCAGGTCGCGTCCCAGCTGCGGCTCTTCGACCCGCAGCTGAGAGAGAAGCCGGAGGAGGAGGCCTTTGTTGAGCCCACCTGGTTGGGCCAGCTGCAGTGTGTGGACAAGCAGGTCAAGGTGTGAAGTGTGCTCTCAGTCTCAGGGGACAGGATGTCAGAGACATGCTGATAAGTGTGGTTTGTGCCCCCGTCGTTTTCACACCGAGCACGTTCGGTGTGGACGGTACGATTTTAGGGGTGTGCACTTTGGTCAGAGCGCTCACGCTCCTGAGGCCCAGACACAGTGAGCGGGTCGGCGGGGTCGGCAGCGCCGTGTTGGGCTGTTGGCAATGCCTGCCATTTCTCTCCCTCAGGAGGGTGCCGCAGCGTGGAGTCGGGATGGGCCCTTCCCCCAGCGCCGTCCCAGCACCCCGAGCTCCGAGGCGGGGCAGTACGACGGGCCAGCACCCGCCCAGCCAGGGGGCCCGGGCACCGGCAATCCGCTGCTGGCGCCGCCCGTGCCCAGCGCTGAGCACTTGGGCCAGGGGGTGCGGCTGCTGCCTTCAGGTGAGCCCCGTGCGGCTGGAGAAGCAGCGGGCCTCCCGCCTTCCCCTCGCAGCCCCTGCTTCCGAACGTGGAACGTCGCCGTTCTGCCTGCAGGAGAGTGGAGGGGACACGTCCTCCCAGCATGTCAGCCTTCCCTCTCCCCGTGCTTGCTCCCTCGCTGAGCCTGTTGGGTCTGAGTGGGTGGGCAGCCTGCTGAGCCCTGGAGGGGGAGGAGGGGGGCATGGAGGGCTCAGTGAACACCGAACTCTCTTTCAGGCCGCTGCTCCCCAGGTTGTGTTGGGGTCTCGTCGGGGGTCAGGGCCCAGGCCACTCGTGACATTTAATGATGTCCTCCCCTTGTCCCTAAAAAGCGTATGTTCTGCCTTTCCCCAAACCATCGATGCCCTGGCATCGTCAGCACTTTCTGCTTTGATGACTGGTTCTCTCATCCCGTAACAAAAGAAACGTGGCCACGCGAAGGGACACGTGATGAGCTGTTGAGTGACCGCCATTTAGCTTCTTCAGGTGCCCGGAGTTAGTGCCAGCACCTCAGGCTTCTGTTCTCCGCTCTCTTGGTGCAGCTCCGCCGGCCCTCCCCGACGGCCAGCCGGCCCTCCCCGCCAGGGTGCCCTTGTTCCCGGTGCCCCCACCCCCGGGCCCTGTTGAGCTGGGGCCTGGCTGTGGACCCCCAGGGGCTGCCCTTGGCTTTCCAGAGCCCTCTGGGCCCGACCTTGCGGCTCCGCTCGCGGGGCCTGGCCTGCCACCTGGCCCACCGCCTCGGCAGGGAAGTGAGCACGCGCCCCAGGAGGCCCGGAGCCGGGACCCAGGTAGGCCTGCTGCGGTGCCGCCCTGAGAGAGGAGCTCTGTTGGGTTTGGCGTTGAAGGAGGTGATTTGAACTTGAGACAGGTTCTGTTCGTCGGCGTACACGAGGGGTTCTGGCAGCCGTAGGCTGGAGGGGTCGTTGATAGCAGTGCCGTGTCTTCCGGGACTCCGCTGCGTGTTGGCGTGTGGGGTGCGAGTGGGTGTCCGGGTGTGGTGGGCTGGCCGTGTGGGGAGCCCAGGCCGCAGCCTGCCCCGCAGTCCCACGTGGGGCTTCTCGCGCCTGCTGTGCGGCTCTGCGCCCTTGAACAAAGCCAGACGTACACCCAGCTTTCAGACAGAAGCGCTTTCGAGAACGTCTCCGGTGCCGGACCCCGCGCACCGCGGTGGGAGGCCGTGGCCCCGTGGGAAGATGTGCCGTGTTGCGAGTGCGTCATGTCCGCTCCTGTCCTGTGTCTGTGACACGGAGACCACAGTGAGCCTCTCTTCTGTCGACAGGGGTGATGCCGCCGGAGACGCTTGGGGGAAACTCGCTTCCGGAGCTGAGAGAAGAGGGTTTTGGCGGAAATTTTGCTCCTCTGGTACTCTCCCACTTCCCCCCCCCACCCCGAGCTCTTTGTTTTCCATAAGTTGCGTTAATTAGCAGCCTGCACTTGTCGTTCTCCAGTTGTAGTAAGAGGAGAACAGTGAAAACCACAAGATTGTCCTTTAAGTTGCTCCTCAGCAGGAGAGCACGCGTAAGGTGGTGTGAACCCCTGCCGCGAGGAGGGCCGCTTCGAGGTGCACAGACGGTCCCCTCTCGGGAGGCTGTGTTGCCGGTGGTGACGTCCCCAGCACGGAGAGCCTTCCCCAGTCCTGCAGGCCTCTCTGGGCAGTAGGATCCCTGCAGCGTCACTGCTCCTCTTGAAGTTCTCAATGCATTTCTCAGACGCGTTTGGTAGAAAGAGCGCTTCTGCTGCTGTCCCGGGAGGGACACGTGCTTTTCTGCGCAGTGCGTCCCGAAGCCGTCTTGACGCACACTGGGCCTCTGTGGGCACGCCGTCGTAGGCGCTTGCTGTACTTTAAACTTCCGTTAGGCATTCCGCCAGGACAATGCTTTGTTCTCATGTAAAGTGAGAGGTTATGGAAAACGGGGTCTTCGCTCAGCGATAAGTATCTTGAAAAGAAACAAGGCTGTGTTTCAAAATGCCCCCTCCCCTTCTGTGCCCAGCATCACCTTGGTGCGCTCGTGTACCCCCCTTCTTCCAGCCCCATAGTGCCCAGTGGGCCCCACCACCCCTGTGTCGAGTCCTGCCGTGCGCCTTGTGAGAGCAGGGCCGGAGGCAGGGGCGGCTGTCCCCCGCCCCCTCCCCGCTCTGCTCGCGTCACTCGCTCCTGGGGAGGTGCCCCAGGCGAGCCTGCCCCCATGTTGCCTTGGGACAGGGCTCCTCCAGGATGTCGCAGGGCCCTGAGGCCCCCCCGGGTTGGGAGTGCACCAGCTCCAGTGCTCTGCAGCCGCCGACAGCCGCTCCTGAAGTGAAGAGACCTGCGCCGGCCGCCAGGAGAGAGGCCAAGGAGCCCAAGAAGGTGACGCACGGCCCAGCTTCAGCAGGGTGGGGGCCCGGGGCCCGGGGAGGGGTGCAGCTCCCACGGACGGCTTTCCTCCTACACTGGCGGTGGGGCAAAGGCATTCAAAGCGTCCGTGTCCCCATATAACCACTGGCCAGGGCACAGTTGCAGCGGGACCAGGAGGCCCCGTGTGTCCACGGCCTGTCAGAACGCACCCCCAGAGGGTGGCTTCTTCCGACTTTGGGACCTGTCCCAGAACTTCTTATAAAGCGGGTTAATCTTTAAAAACCATTGTGTCATAGTATCTGTCGTATGTAGATGCTACAATTTTACTTATCTTTTTTTTCTCAGTAGTGGACATTGGCCTTTTTTTCAGTTTGGGGTGGTCCTGTAAAAGCCACATGCGCGTTCTTCTCTGTCTTTTGTTGGTGAAAGCACTTGTTTCTCATGGGGCGTGCCTAGGGCCCAGGACAGCTGTGCGTCCAGCGTGGGAAGGTGCCACCAGGCAGTTTTCCTGGGCGGTTGGGCCAGGTGACCTTCCCCTAGCAGAGCCAGAGAGGCCCAGTCATTCCTTGTCACTGGCCTGGAGGCCCTTGTCCCCGCACACACAGGCTCGGGCCTCTCCACGGCAGCCTCTCGGCGGGGGTTCGTGGCCCTTCCTGGTGTCGCTTTGCTTCACAAGCTAGGGCGCCGAGCACCTTCCTCGTGTACCTGTTAACCACCTGTGTGTTTTCCCGTGTGCTGCTGGCTTGCGTCTTCTCCCACTTGAATGTTGTGCCACACATCCTCTGAAATGTGGGCTTCACCAGTATCTTCTTCCCCCGGTCTGCGGACTGCCTTTTTGCTCTTAACGTTAGTTTAGGCAGGACATGTTCTTAATTTTCATATAGTTCAGCGTATCGAATTTCATTTAACCATTAGTGTCTTTTTTTAAGATTTCATTTATTTATTTGACAGAGAGAGGGAGAGAGAGAGTGTGAGAGAGAGAGCACAAGCAGGGGGAGCAGGAGAGGGAGAAGCAGGCTTCCTGCCGAGCAGAGAGCCCTACACCAGCCTCCATCCCAGGACCCTGGGATCATGGACCTGAGCCGAAGGCAGATGCTTAATGACTGAGCCACCGAGGCACCCTGCGTCTTTTCTTTTTTAAAGAATTATCCATTCGTTTTAGAGAGAGAGAGCAAGCATGGGGTGGGGGAGGAGCGCAGAGGGAAAGGGACACCCAAGCAGATTCCCCACAGAGCCCGGTGTGGGGCTCGATCCCGTGACTCTGAGATCACAACCTGAGCCGAAACCAAGAGTCGGACACTTAAGCGACTAAGACACCCAGGTGCCCCTTAATGATGAGCATCGTAAGGAAACGCAAATTTTATTCAGAGTGTGCGTGAGCCTGAGCCGGACTATTTTTAGTTGAAGTATGGCCTGCAGGGATTGAAGTAAGCGTCCCTGACACCTAACTTCTCCCAGTATAGGACACGGGGCGGGGGACTGTGTCTGAGGGGGGCCCACAAGGACATTCCCAGTCTGTTGGCCACTGCTCAGTCCGGGAGAACGCCAGAGGCTGCCATTTGTTGGCATTTAGACAGGAAGAGCTCCAAAAGGCACACTGTTCAGATGTTTTAATTGTGGTAAAATACACATAACATAAAACTTACCATTTTAACCATTTTTAAGGGCATGCTTCTGCGGCGTTAGGCGCACGCTGCTGTGTAGCTGCCCTCTCCGCCCTTCTCCAGGACTTGTCTTCTCAGACTGCACCTTGGTCCCCGTTGTATACCACCCCCTCCAGCTCCCGCGTCTGTGGGTCCGACTCCTCTGGGGCCTCTGGGAGTGGATCCTCAGGGTTTGTCTTTCTGTGCCGGGCTCAGCTCACCCAGCACCATGTCCTCAAGGTGGTTCTGATGGTTTTTGCATTTAGAGTAGTGAATCCTGGTTCTCTCGTTGGCTTCCTGGGAAAAAAAGGACAGAAGCTTATTTGCCAGACGACAAGAACAAATCGGTGAGTGTCGTGGAGGGCGGCCCTGAGGGACGTGCAGGCTCCTGCGCACGGTGGTCGCCGAGCAGGCCGGGGTCTCGTCTCCCGGAGGCCGCCGTGTCGGGAGGAAGCAGGTGCTGCTTCTGCTCAGCTCTGCCTCCTGACGTCTTCTGTTACTTTTCACAATCATGGCAGATCGTCTGGGATGAAAAGAAGAACCGATGGGTGGATGTAAATGAGCCAGAGGAGGAGGTAAGTCAGAATTCCTCGCGCTTCACTGGGCCCCGGCTTCCCGTGCCGTCTTGGCGGCTTCGGGTCCGCAGGAGGGTCTCTAAGCCGCTTTCCCTCCGCAGAAGAAGGCTCCGCCCCCACCACCAACCTCGCTCCCCAAGGCTCCGCTCGCTGCGCCCCCTGGTCCTGGAGGGCCCCCGAGGGCCTCTGTGAACATGTTTTCTAGGAAAGCAGGTAACAAAGTCAAGGCGGAGATCAGAGTTGGTTTGAGAACTTGCCTGTTCTCCAGAGATACCAGAGCTTAGGGACCGTAAGTATAGGTCAGATGGAGGTCGGTCTGTCTGCAGAGGGCATCCTGGTTTTCCGGGGCGAGTCTGTAGGGAGAGCTCCCCTTCTCTAGAGCGTGAGAGCCCTGCTCAGCAGCCCCTGAGCTGGTAGCTTTGAAGTGCGGGACGGGCACCTCCCCCGGGTGGCAGCCGGGCTGTGCTGTGGGGAAAGCCGCGTTCCCGCATGCTCTTCCCGCTCGGGGAAGGGGGGCCCGGGGAGCGGAGTCATGTGGTGCGATGACCTGAATCTGCTGCTTCTCCCGGCCCAGCTGGAACCAGAGCACGCTACGTGGATGTTTTAAACCCGGGGGGGCCCCAGCGGAGTGAACCAGCTCTTGCTCCTGCTGAGTTTTTTGCTCCCCTTGCCCCGCTCCCGATTCCTGCTCACTTGTTTGGACCAAACCCAGGTAGGCACCACGGGACCTTCTGACCTCTGACCTCTTTTCTGAGAGCCTCTGGCTTTCATCTCCCATAAGAAGAGTGACCCGGCCAATGTGCAGGGAGCCTGGGTTCATCTGCTCATTCACGGGCTTCTTTCCCTGTCCCGCACGAGTGGGACTGTGGGAAATGTAAGGCCAGCAGTGTTTTGGATGGAATGACAGCTTCCCGCACTGTCTCCTTCACAGACGCAGAGGAAGCCCCACCTGCAGAGGGGGCCAGCAGGGAAGGGCAGGCGCCCGCAGGGGGTCCGGCCAACCTAGAGCCGGCCTCAGAGCCCCAGGTGAGCGGGGCCACAGGACAGGCAGGAGGGCGGTGAGGGTTTGCCCTGCACCCCGCCCAGGAAAGTTGGCCCCGACCTTTGCATCAGGCCCGCTGTGCACCCAGGGGCCGAGTCTGTGTCTGTCGGAAGTCTCTTTCCCCTGAACGAAGGTCCTCAAGAGAAGCAGAGTATAACCATGTGCACGTGGTTACTGAAATCATAGTCGTAAAGAGGTGTTTTTTAATTTTGGGAACTTGCACGTGAAATAGGATCATTCAGAGTCTGGTGTCTGAGGTGGACACAGTGGATTGCAAGCCTGGTTCCCCATTTAATGAGCTACTTAACACGTGAGGGGTTACGTAACTCCTCAAAGCCTGTTTCCTGCTCGAAGATGGGGTGATAATGCCATCGCGGGGCCCAGGGTCCGTGTTCCCTAGAGATGGGCCGTCCGTCCGCGGTGGAGCCCGTGGGCCCTGCAGCTGCTCAGAGGGATGCTTTCCACGGAGCGGAGCGCCTCGGCGCCGGGGCCGGAGGGGGGCCGCGTCGTCCCGCCCAGTGAGGAGGACTGCATGTCACATTCTTCCTCTGATAGGCGTTCGGCTCCGCGGCGTCGCTCCCTGGCCCTGAGCTCCCACCCACCCGTGAGGACGGCTCCCAGGGAGGAGAGGTAAGGCGCTCCCATAGGAGAGGGCCTTCCCCGAAGCCGGGCCCGGCACCTCACTCGTGTGTATGGTCCAAGTGGCTTCTTCTTCTAAAAGCGAGTGTTGACGAGTCGGAAAAGGCGGTTTAGCAGCTTCTTAGAGCCTGCAGGGTGTGTCCGCACAGCAGACAGCCCCCCTTGTCTGTGCAGAATCGCCCGGGAGCCCCACGTCGAGCAGGGCTGGAGCACACACCCCAGGCTCCGCTCACACGGCAGGGCCGCCCAAGGCCCCCAGCTCGTGGTGCTTTCTTCATAAAAACTGTCCACGAAAGTAGGCGTTTTAAGCTAACTCTGGCTTTTCTCCCGTTTGGACTGTACTGATTCTAATGGCGTCATGAAGCTCTCTGGGGTTAAACTGACTGCTTGGAGCAGCAACATGCATGTTGATTTTTTATTTGTCTGTGTTTTGTGTGTGTTCTTGCTGTTTTGTAGCTTTCACGCTGTAGTTCAATGAGTTCATTATCACGTGAAGTAAGCCAGCATTTTTATCAGGTACCTGTGGCTGGCGGTTCTCACTGAACACGAGTCGAACTGGGTCGCCTTGTGTTCCCTCTGAGCGCGCTGTGCTGGCTGGCCGCTGTGCCCTTGTCGCTAACGAGCCCCACTGCCTCCCCGCCCGCCGCACGCCAGACGATGCAGTGTTCCTTTCTCCCAGGGCCCTCGGGGTCAGGAGCCGTCCAGATGCACTGACGAGCATGTGGACCCCAAAATGTTCCTAGTGAACGACTGCAGTCTTGTAATTGTGTTCTTTCTGGATTGGTTTTTCCACATGGCCGGCCTCCGGCGTAGGCTCGCCGTGTGTGAGTGGGTCTCAGAAGCCCGCCGGGGGCAGGAGGCACTTCTGTTCTCTGACCGAGCGCGCGACAGCGTCTCGTAGGCCAGGCCGAGGGCGGCGGGAAGCTGTCCTTCGGCCAGTCTGGGCGGGAGATAAAGGAATGCCTCATCTTTTCTGTGTATCGTGGAACAACGCGTTTCCATTGGCTCAGTAGAAGGCTTCACGTGACCTTTTTATTTGCATACTAAAACCCTGGATTTGATAGCTGGATACCAGAGGTCTGAAGTAATCAAAAATGTTTACTAACTGCTTAAAGTCGACGCTAATGGGACGTCTTGGTGCCGTGCACTCCTCGTTCCTGCATGTTCTGGTTTTAAGGCATTTCTCTCTGCATGCTGCTTTACGTCTTACCGTTTTCCCGTGAACCTTGACGTAATTAAATCCAGTGTTGCAAGAAGTGTCTTCGACCTGCTTCGGTGGCTTACTTAGAGCACTGTAAAGGGTCCCCCAGGAGTAGTGTCTGTGTTCACAAAGGGCGCAAACCGCTGTCACGGCACTCTGTTGACATGGGCCCTCTGTGTTTCTCAGGCTCCCAGTGACCACCCCCCTGCAGGGGCCACTCCCGGGGCAGCCGTGCCCTTCTACAGCCCTGCTCAGTTCGCACAGGTCAGTGCCCTCCCGTCCCCCAGCCCGTGCCCCGACCCACTGCGCCCGCTGCCCCTGCTCCCTCGTCTGCCCCTCCCCTGCTCCTGGCCGAGCGGGGGCTCCTGCACTTTCCTGCTGACACACTGCGCCGTGGGTCTGGGTCTGACTCCCACGTGCTGGCCTTGGCCGCCCTTCACCTGCCAGCCCACGTCCTGCAGTTGGGGAATGTTCTTGAATGTTCCCTTGTAGTTCTCTCCCTCTGCCTTCTCTCTCTTCCATTCCCAGTTCTTGCCCGTAGTATACAGACTGGCTGCCAGTTTGGGGAGAGCCGAGGAGGGGGGAGGGGTCGTCCTGGCATTCAGGATGTAAACTCTCACCTGAGCCAGGGTGTCCTGGTGCGGCCCCTGCCCACACTGCCTGGGATGGCCGGACCTGCTCCCTCTGCACCCGGCGCTCGGCACCTCGCCACCCCAACCTCAGGGCTACCACGTCCCACTCAAGTTACAACCTGGCCGCCGCGCATCTGCTTTTCTGCTCCAAGATGTGTTTTTTTTCTGTCCTGTTACCTCCATCTTGTAGCCTGTGCTTTACGTGAATTCTTTGATGTCCTTTCTCGCTAGGATTTGCGAGGGGGCAGAGGTAAATGCCTGTGTGCTGCCCACGGGTTCTCCTGGGGCAGCCGCCAGCATTGGCCTCCCCTCCCACCACCTGACAAAACCGCAGACCCCTTTTTTTATAAAAATTTTTTTTTTTTAAGATTTTTTTTTAAATTTATTTGACAGAGAGATAGCACAAGTAGGCAGAGCGGCAGGCAGAGGGAAAGGGAGAAGCAGGCCCTCTGCTGAGCAGGGAGCCTGATGCGGGGCTCGATCCCAGGACCCTGGGATCATGACCTGAACCGAAGGCAGCCTCTTAACCGACTGAGTCACCTAGGCGCCCCATAAACCGCAGACACCTTTAAAGAGACCGCCCGGTTTGGTCCCCACCGGGTCAGTTACCAGGGGCTGCCTGTGGGTCGGTGTAGACGGTCCCACACACACAAGCCTCGCGGGTGTTCCCGGGATGCTGCCGGCCTCGGAGGCTGGGCACATGGAAGTCAGCGCTCTTCCTTGTCCTCCTAGGCCTCGGCCCCCTCGGGATGCTCGAGGATGGGGAGGATTGGCCAGAGAAAATACCCAGCGTTGAGCTAGAAGAGTTCCCGTCCTGGAGTAGCATCTGGAACCCTGAAATCATTATTATGCTCCCCCAAGAACTCCCAACAGATCGCCTGCAACGTCCCTGTGTTCCCGAATGGGCACAGGAGTGATTCCACCGTGACTGTACCTGTTCTTCCTCCACCGCCACCGTCTGTGAAGGGTGGCCAGGGTCAGGTGCACAGCTCCTGTATGAGGCCGCCCGAAACGGGGAGCTCTTGGCTCCTTCGTTCACCTAACAGTGATTTAAGGGTAAAACAGTCTCAGTTGTGAAGAGCGTTGTGCTGGGCAAGGCTGGAGGCATCTTTGCTGCAGGAAAGACTTTGCTCTTGAGGAACCCAGGTGTCTCTGCAAACCTAACCGTGCTTTATTTCCCACCCCCCCAAGGGTTCTTTTAAAACACTGAGTGAAGAGTGAGCCTTGGGCCCAGGAGAGGCCCCACCGCCTGCCTGGCGGCCCTGGGGGGTCCTTTCTGCATCAAAGTCCTCAAGGAACTGTGGACTCGGTTTAGCAAGAATTCGGTTAGCTTTTGAGAGAGGCCCGAGTCACTGAAGCGCATCTCTGTCCGGTAGCAAAGACGTTTCCAGCTGCTTCTTCATGTCCCACGCAACCCAGGGGCCTGGCTTTGCCCGTCTGCGAGGGGCGGCCCTGCCTCCGACAGCTGCGTCCCACACGGGACTGGTCCCCGTGAATCCACCAGTACTAAAACTGTCACTGTAACAGATTGGATTGGGGGTTTTCAGTCCGTGCGTAGCCTGATCAGACTCCTCGTCAGAGAGCCGTGAGGGGCTGCCACGACCTTTGTGTGATCATCGACCCTGTGCTCGGTTGTGACTGCTCTTCACGGCGCCATCCACTTGCCTTGCTTTCTCTCGCCTGGTTAACGTCCTCTCGGGTTGGTGACATCTTGAAGAGAGGGCGGAGATGGACTTTGTTGGCACGTGGTCCGAGTCCGAGGCTCTGCCTCCGTTTTCCCACGCCAGATCTTCCGCAGGTCGTGTGCCGACCGCCAGCCACCTGAAACCACAAAGGGGGAGCCCTCCCCCTGGACTCCAAGCTTTACGGCTTCATCGACTGTTCTGAAAATTATTCACATTCTTGTTAGCTCTGAAGAAACTGCAGAAAAGATTTAAATATTTATAAGAATCATTAGAAAATAATTTCTGTAGGTTCTGCTGGGGAACATAGTTTGCTTGGTATTTTAAATCTAAGTGCAGAAATGGTATAACTGTGGAATTCGCGCAGGCCTCCCGTTTCCCGGGGGCCCTGGGTCATCCAGGAAGGGCCACGGGAGGCTTTCCCGTGGCGTCACCCACGTGCACGTCCGGGTGCATTTGCTCCTGTCACTTTGAGAGAGGCTGGGGCTGGTTGACCGGGCAGCAGCCTCTTGTGTCCCTTGGTCCGCACTCAGTGGGGTCCTGGGACCCCAGACCCTCCTGGCGCCCCCCAGCTTCCTCCACCTGGCCTGCCCACCGTTGCCTGTGCCCACTGCCAGCAACTTTTGATTCAAGAAGCTCCCTCCCAGGCCAGGCGGGAGCTGCTATTTTTCCTAGATGCAAATTGTTACACTGCAAATTGGTAAATAAAGTATTTTGCGCTCGCAAGCGCGTCATCTGTTTCCTTTTGTCTGTGGGTCACCAAGGGTGGTGGGGGGGGGGGACAAGGTCCCTGCCTGTGGGTGCGGGCAGGAGGGGCTTCTCCGCGGGGGGAGCCCCCCCCGCACACTCCCCCTCCCCTCACCCCCCGGCAGCAAGTGAGGTGCGTCCCTTGGGCAGGCCTGGCCCAGTGTGCCCACCCACCCCTGGAGCCTGGGAAGCCGCGGCGTGGGGGAGGGGCGTCTTCCGCGCTCGCGGGCGCGCTGGGTCCTCCGGCCGCCAGGGGCCGCTGCTGGGACCAAGCCCGGGATCCCCCCAGACGCCCGTTGCCGGGGAGCGGCGGCCGGGCCCGCAGGGCTGGAGAGCGGGCGGCGCAGAGAGGTGGGCGCAGGGCGACCGCGGGCAGGGGTGCGGGTCCGGGGCGCGGGGTGACCCCTGGGCAGGGATGCGGGGCGAGGGTCCGAAGCGCGGGGTGACTCCTGGGCGGGGCGGGGGCGCGGATCCAGGGCGCGGGGCGACCCTCTGCAGGGGAGGGGACTCGTATCCAGGGC